AAAATATTTATTTATAAATTTTTTTAATTTGTTAGATAATAGATATTAATTGTTTTATCGGTTATCGGTTATTTTTAACAATTAAATTAAAAAAAAATTTGACAATTTTTGGTGGCCTTAACAAATTTAATAGTAGTTATAATCATAACACTTTATATTTGGGAAGCATCACATAATATCCTATTATAGGACAATGATTAATGTACATTCTAATTTAATACATTATATAATATATTTATTAAAAAATTATTATTTTTGAATATAAAATTAAAAGCAAATAGATTTAAAAATACAATCATGCATGTAAAATGCATGAATTAATTGAATTGGCCATGTTTATATTATATTTTAATAATTAAATTAAAATAAGCGTCATAAAATATATTAAACTAAGTGTATATCAATTATTTTCTTATCATATTATATAAATCTATTCATTTAATGATACATTTACATGATGTCTTATATTGCAAAAAAAAAATATATATATATGAATGTATTATCTAAAAAAATATTGGAAAAAAGGAAGCTTAACATAGACATCATGGACGAAGCTACCACAAACCTGCTACACTTTTGAAAAATGTCTAATAAGATATATCAATTTTTGTTTACAACAAAATTTGTTTTTGATATTTGAATTATAGAAACAAGGAGTTGAACCAAAATCTATTATTGGATAAGGTCTATTCTATTTTTGAGTAATAGGGCATAAAATTAAAAGGTTTTGTGCATTATGTTTCTTTTAATAGGTAAAGTTGATAATTGCAAGACTTTAAAATCATGGAAGTCTTCTGAGAGGAGGGTAGAGTTTGTTCCTATATAACTCCTCTCAAGAGCCCTTGATGGGATCCATTTCAAATCTAAAGGAAATAATTAGGACCAAGGTAAAGTGGCAATTTTTCTCTTTGGGACCCATTCTTAAGAAATAAAATTTTATCCAGGTAAAAAAGAATTTAAAAAAACAATTAAGATCAAGTTATATTAGTATAACTTACATATAATATTATACCAGTTGTAATTTTTTGTATAATTATATTTTATCAAACTGATGATCAGATTTTATATTTTATTCATATGCATTATACATTCTTTATTTAAAGTTTATGTGATATATAGAATTACATGAAAAAAGAAACTATACTTTATTTGGGATTAATTAGTGTCACTCCAAAATTACAATGTTTTAATAAAAAATTAAAATACAATAAAATAGTACTAGGGGCACTCGCCTCTTGCACTCTCCGGACAACACTTCCCCTCTCATTGGGCCACGTAAGCCTGTTTCAGGCTTTCCTGTGCAACTCATACCGACCAGAATAACATGGCCCAATAAAAGTGAAAGTGTAGGCCGGAGAGTGCAGAAGGCGAGTGCCCCAAGCACTCCTCTTTCAGAAAACATAACGTCATTGATGATAGAGGTAAAAGAGAAAATGACGTCATCATTGTGGATAAAAAGAAAAAAATGACATCATCATCACCACCTGTCAACATTAAAGAAAAAGACAAAAAGGAATAAAAGAAAAAGACCTTAAACCCCATGCTAGAGCTTGGCAATTACGTCATCAAATTTCTTTTTTTCTTTTTTTCTTTTTTTTTTTGCAAACTATTGTACGGGAAAATGGAAGGAACGCACGACCCTACTGAAACAGAATTTGTTCTGTATGCTCGGATGTCAGCATCTTCGAGGTCCCAAAATGGAAGCAACCCATACGCGTCTCCATTAAACAAATAAAAAAAACCTGCTCCGTCCAGCGGATCTAAGATTATTATTATTAATTTTTTAAACTAAAATGATAATTAAATAATCAAAAGGCATAAAACCAGAACTTTTGATTTAATAATTTATTTTCAAATTTTAATGCTTAGAATTAGTTAATTAAAAATTTTATTTTTATTAATAATTAAAAAAAATACTTTTTTCTCTATAATTCTCTCATATTAAAATAATAATAATAATAATAATAATCGGAAGGCATGGAACACCAACAAAACGAATCTTACTTTTCATATGGGTTTGTACTACTCTGTTTTCTTTACTCTATCCATGGGTTAAGAACCATTCTCCTGGTTTGAAGAAAAGAAT